CATATATATATATATATACATATATATATATATATATATAATTTTTATGGAGGGATTTTTTTTAATCAGATCGAAATATTTTTTATAAAAAAAAAAAAAAAATAGTCGATGTCTATTAACCCTGACTCTAAGTTATTTGGACTGAATCAATTTGCTTGACATAAACCAAACTAAATTGATTTAATAAAAATATAAATATTTAATTTTATTCTTTTTAAGTCACTTCTTTTTTTTCCTTCAAATTCTATTACTCTTATTCTCAAATTAACCGTACCTCCTCCACTTCCACACTGTCTCCTCCCATTCCGCCTCTCACCGTTTGCTCCTTCGACTCCACCACCTCCACCATTTGGCTTCTTTCTCCTTACCCTCCTCTCTTAGTTTCCCTCTATCTCTACCTCCTCCTCCTTATTCTCCCACTTCAAAAATTAATTATCATAATTATATATATAAAAAAATGATGATAACATATTAACAAATCATTCTAGTAATTTATGAGAATTTTGAATAGATTTGATAAAAATTCATACAAAAATTAATCACTCAAAATTCATTAAAAAAAGATAATAATATCAGCATCTCATCCTAATAGTTCAAGAGAAGTTTTGATAGGCTTAATGAATTCAAAAAGTTAAACTCGAGTTACATTCTATCATAGATTCAACATAAAAATATCATATTTAAAAAATTAATCACCTTAAATTCATACAAAAATTTTAAAAAAATGATAATAACATATTACCATCTCACCCTAATATTTCAAGAGAAATTTTGATATGTTTGACGAAAATTTAAAAAGTTACACTCGAGTCATACTCGATTATAGATTTAATAAAAAATATTTTATTTAAAAAATTAATCACTCTAGATTTATATAATAATAATAATAATATTTTAACATTTTGCCCTAGTAGTCCATGAAAAGTTTGGATAGGTTTAGTAAGAATTAAAAGAGTTATACTCCATCATAGATTCAATCCAAAAATATTTTATTTTAAAAATTAATTATTCTAAATTTATTGAAAAAATAAAAATAAAAATAATAAACATATTAGCATCTCACATTATTAGTTCAAGAGAAGTTTGGATATGTCTGGTGAATTTAAAGAATTACACTTGATCATAGACTCAACACAAAATATTTTATTTCAAAAAATAATAATCATAAAAAATAAAAAATGATAATAACATATTATTATCTCACCCAATGGGTCTAGAAAAGTTTTGATATATTTGATGAAAATTTAAAGAGTTATACTTATGTTACACTCAATCACATATTCAACCTAAAAATATTTTATTTAAAAATTAATCACTCTAAATTTATACAAAATTTAAAAAATAATAATACTAAACGTATTATCATCTCACCTTAATAGTTTTAGAAAAGTTTGGATAAAAATATTTTTTCAACCCAAAAATACCTTTTAAAAAAATTATCCTAAAAAAATTTTAAAAAATGATGCTAAATGTCTTAGAATAATAATATAGTAATAGTTCCGAAAAAATAATGAAATGATGTTATAAAAATATATTGATTATGCTCGAATTACACTCATTCATAAATTTAGTAAGATTTGATCGGATACATTTAGATCGGACCTAACTCGATCCAAAATGCTCCAATCCAAATCACCTCGATCGAATCGAATCGAATCGACCCATAAAAATATCATTTAAAAATAAATACATAAAAAACATCATCAATACGACCGGCTTTTTCTTGATAAATTGCCTATTTAGAAGGAAAAAAAAGACGCAAATCACGACCTTTACATATATGCAATTTTGCCAACCCTCGCACCGTCTCCTACACGACTCTCTCTCTCTCTTCACTGTCATGGAGGCGCTTGTCTGCATGAAGCTCGGTGATCCCACCGTCCCCATGACCTCCGATTCGTCCCCGATCGCGGCGGTCACCAAATTCCACCCCGTCCCCGCGATCTCCTCCTCGACCTCGGTCCGAGTCCGGATCCGGGCCACGAGCCTCAACTTCGCCAATTACCTCCAGATACTGGGCCGTTACCAGGAGAAGCCCCCCCTCCCCTTCATCCCGGGCTCCGACTACTCCGGCGTCGTCGAATCCGTCGGAAGCGGCGTCTCCAGGTTCAAGGTCGGGGATAAAGTTTGCTCCTTTGCTGCCCTCGGGTCCTTTGCCGAGTTCATTGTCGTCGACGAGAAAGACCTGTGCGCTCTCTTTTGCTTGCCCTCTCTCTGGTGCTCGACTTTTCGATTCATTTTGACTAGGTTTTCTTTATAAGAAAGGGTGATTCGATGATGGAGGAACTCAACTCTTCAATCCTCAGGGATTCATTTTGAGCGAAAAGATTAGTATTTTGTGTGGTATCGCATATAGTTGACTGCGTCGTGTCGAAAATTTGGAGGGCTATTTTGTTGAATATTTCTTATGCCATTTAATTTTATGCATAAAAATATAAATCCTAATTAAGCACTACCCCAGAATTTCATAGTCGTTTACACTCTAATGATGTCAGAATACATATATAAAACATGAACTTAGTGGAAAATAAACCAACAGTCCTTTTTCATGCTTTCAAGTAATTTAGAGAAAGAACATCAAATTATTGTTATGAAGAATTTCAGGAAGCTTATGATCATAATCAAAACATAATTATTGGGAATTTATTGATCATTGGTCGGGGTTATGATTATGCATTGCTTATTCGATGGAAGTAGTTGCAAGTTGATAATAAAATGCTGAACATGTGCTTTGTTGACTACCCAAGCCCACTTCAGGTTTCTTAGACAAAATTTGATTAATCAGATCGATCTAATCTTGTTGCTACATGGGTTCTGGAGAATAGATTCTTAGTGCCCGAGGGATGTGACCTAATTGCTGCTGCTGCTTTACCTGTCGCTTTTGGGACTTCACATGTAGCTCTTGTTCATAGAGCGCAACTAAAACCTGGTCAGGTTTGTCTTTCTCTAAATATTTTCTTATCTTTTTATCAGTTCAATTTAACTAGTGGTACTTGAACTGAAGTCAAACCTCATTAATCTTTCATATTAAGATAGAATATATTTTTTTTTTGCATTTATGAGATTAGCTTCTTGCAGTGTCGTGCTTAAATTGATTAAATTCATTTTGAGTCACTGGATCTACATTTCTAATACCCGAAAAATCATGGCAAGATGTGTACAAAGAATAAAATAATATTTTAAAAGTAAATAATCTGAGAAAAAAAACATGATACTATCTTAGATTTCAGACTGATAATCTGAGTCTAGTTTTTCCTTTTTATTCCAAAAATCAGTAGGTATATGTTGTTGCAATTTCTCCGTTCTGTTGCAATTGCTTTGTTCTAGATTTTATTGGAGAGAGGACAAGTTTCTAAGATGAAGAAGAGCCCATGAGCTAAATGCATCATATTCAATGATGAGCAGCCACATTCAGAAATGAAAATCATCAATTGTCGCTTGCTGATAAAGTTAACGCTATAATACTTCCAAACAAAAAGTATTCTGTACCATTAGAAAGAAGAAGCTTTGCACCATATTATATGATGTTGTTGACTTGGTAGGTAATGTTTGAAGATATTGTAAACGAAAATGTATATAACAGGACAGGACATCTTGGACCAACAAAGAAATATGGTCATGTTTTAGTGAAAAAGGGGCATGATCTGAGAAAGCATAATAAGTGGAATCAGGCTTTGATAAATTAAGAAAAATTATAGATGGACATAAGAATTGCAAGAAACAGAATACACGTTGAATGAGCTGGTTTGTGAGAACATATATCGCATCATCCCTAAACAAGAGTCGGGTACAGAATACTGCAACATAAAGCATAGTCATTTTGTTTCTTGTTTTTGCCAACTGTAAAATCATATTGTTGCTTACAAGCATGCTAACTACAATAACCAAAACCTTTACGACATCTTAAAGCTTTGGTTTTCTGTGTTAAATTTTCAATACTTAATATGCACAATCACATGCTTTTCTGGTTTACCAATGATTTTTGCAACTAATAGCGAATGGGACAAGCCAACTACAACTTATCTGTCACAAACAAGATCAACAATTGTAACTCGTCTGCCACACAAACAATACCAACATTATATCTTTAAGATGATTAACACCAAAAAAGTATGGAAAATTTTAGGTACTGCTTGTCCTTGGTGCCGCTGGTGGTGTTGGTATTTCAGCTGTGCAGATAGGAAAAGTTTGTGGGGCAATTGTTATTGCTGTCGCAAGGTTAGTTTGAAATCCAAGCATTACGATGTTGCATTTATTGAGTCTTTTTTCTGTAATACGATTTGCTTGTCTCAGAGTCAAGGAATACATCTAAAGTTCATCTGAACACCAAATTTCAGGGGTGATGAAAAGGTGCAATTTCTCAAGTCGCTGGGTGTCGATTATGCCGTTGACTTGGGAAAGGGGAACATCATTGAAAGTGTGAAGAATTTCCTCAAGTCGAGAAATCTGAAAGGAGTTGATGTTCTATATGATCCAGTTGGGGGTAAACTTACAAAAGAGTGCATGAAGCTTCTTAATTGGGGCGCAAATATTCTTATCATTGGATTTGCAAGTGGTGAAGTTCCAGTCATCCCAGCAAATATTGCTCTTGTGAAGGTAGCGATCATAGATTATCTACACGAATTGGATATGGACGGCCACATCTTTTTCATGGATTTACTGTTCGTTGTGATTGTTTGTTCATGGTTATGCATTTTTTTAAGGTTTAACTATGCTTTTTGATGCCTAGTGAATTTTTATTATCTTCTGGTAATTATGGTTGAATTTCTAGTGGCTAACATAAGTTTCAATTTTAAACCAATGGATTAGTTATGTAATAATCTTGCTGATTAAACAAAATTTCAACATTTTTTGTATGGAGCATTGTGATGAAGGTAGGTATGTGTTGCCAAAGAAGTGTGTTTTTTTAACCAATTTCAGTATACAAATGTATGCAATTTAAATAAGGTTCCACCTTTTTGTAGTATAAATGGGTGCAGGATGTCGATTTCTAGTGTTTGAAAGAAAGTTTGTTCTTTTTCTTGATCATTGGTAATTTCTTGTTTTTCTTTAAAGAATATATGTTAGTGATAACTTATTATCTTGTGCAATTTGCTCCAGAACTGGACAGTTCATGGACTTTATTGGGGCAGCTACAAACTGCATCAACCACATATCCTAAGAAACTCTCTTGAGGAGCTGCTATCCTGGTTGTCAAAGGGGTTGTTAACTGTTCATATATCTCATTCCTATAGTTTATCACAGGTATCAACTCATGTTAACTTGGTTTAGACAAGAATATCTTCTGTAGTTGAACGTGATTGTTTTTTAAGCTTTTGCATATAACTTGAATGTATTTCATTTATATGATGTCTTAGCTGAGAATTGTAAAGTAAAATCCATGAGAAAGTTGAAAGTTCTCTAGATCATCAGAACAGCTGTTGCAATTTGCAAGATATTGATGCAGAATTATTCATTTGTTTTTTACCATGTCATTGTAAGCTTGCTTCGAGGACAGATACCTGTCCTGAGTCACTGACAATCATCTTGGGCACCATTTTATGCAGTTGAAACCTTTTAATAAAATAAAATCTGCACAGCCAATAAAATCACTTGCCTATTTTGGTAGTATGTTATTTACCATCTCTCTTAATTTTTTTTTGCAGCTTTGCTGGTTATGTATCGAAGAGACTCACGTACCCTGTTCTTTTTCAATTGACAGGCAGATCTGGCTTTTGCTGCTATTAAAGATAGGAAAGCCATTGGCAAGGTGATGATTGCTTTAGGGGGCTCCACTGCAGGAAGATCAAAGCTCTGATATGACACAGGATTGTAACAGGTAGCAGCAGATGGTGCAGCACAAATGATCTCTGTAATAAATGCAGGTAAACATTTGTTGTTTGCTCGCAACTTCTGTTAAATGATTCCGGGTTACTGCATTTTAAGATTCCTATGTCGCTGGATATAAAGTAAATACTGAAAACTCCAATGCCGGATAATCGATGAAAGTTATTTATATAACATGGAGACTTTCCGACCACCTCTCATGTTCCTTTTAACATATATTAATCTTCGTTCGAGTAATCATTCTTGTATTGTTTGGCATGTCAGATACCCTAGTGATCCTCACAATGTTGTGGGAGCTGCAACTATATTTCAGTGGGATTTAGATCAAGGGTTTTTCACATTGTTATAATGGTTGGTTGCTTTCGATACAACAATTGTCAATAACTGTATCTATGTGGTGGCCTCTGTGAAGGACTTGTGGTAAGTTAATTTGGCCTCCTCTTAAAGGATCAGCTAATGTGGAGTGTCTCAAGAAACGAACTCCATGTCCTTTCATTGTGGTTTAGTATAAATATTGCTCAGCACTGATGATGGATCATGCAGTTTGATATTATGCTCATTTTTATTCGTTTGTTATTTGATTTAGAGATATTAAACGGTAAAATCAATATATCATCCAAGATCTTGTTCTCGTAAGTATGTAAAAGATCTTTGAAATGGATATCACACAGAGTTTTAGAGTCTTGCTTTACATGGATAAATAATGAAAGAAAATACTTGAAATGGATATCACACAGAGTTTTAGAGTCTTGCTTTACATGGATAAATAATGAAAGAAAATACTTGTAGTAGGTTTGTATGTCACTTCAAGGTCTTATTATTTGATTTAGTGGCTTTAGATCGTAAAAATTGATGTCATCATAAGATTGCTGAAATGGGTTTCGATTTGAAAATTAAAATCTTTCTTAAAAAAATTACTGTGACAAGACATTGATCGTTTAAAATATAATATACATGTGTTAAGGTGGCATTGATACTACAATGACAATTAGTATAAACAAGATCGAACGTCCTACTAGAAATTAATACAAGTGATTATGATTCTGCGGTCATCTTAATAGAGATTCTATTTCATTATATTTGTATTGACATTATTATTTTCTTTTGGGGCATCATTCTGCCAGTGAATAGAGCTATTTAAATGCAAAAAAAAACATGGCATGATCAACAAGAAATGAATCGATATATCAGCAGATCACCAGTATCAGATGAAGTTGCACTTACTTCGGAAGGTTTTTACAAAGGTAAAAAGGAAGGGTCAAATCACAGTCCGGTGTACAGATTGAGCAGAGCAATCCGCCAAGTTGCGTACATTTCAGTGGCTGATGGCAATCAGATTTTTTTCAACAGGCGCATATGATCCTGTTGTACCATCTGCCCGCCCTTCACCTGGTCAAATGTGCACTTATAGAAACTGGAGCCAAAAAGAGGAAAGAAAGAAGAAAGATATTTAGTGCGGATACACAGATCAGATCCCTGAATAAATCGAGCTGTCGCAATAAGCTTCAAAGAATACAAGGTCTACTCAATTGCGTATTACATAAGGACATAACATAAACCCGAAGAAAGCAAGTATCTAAAGCAAAAAAAGCAAAAAAAAGGTGTATTTTTCTTTTCTAGGTTCTAGCTTCAATTCTTTACCCTTGCTAATCCAGGAAGTAAAATAAAGCAAAAAAAAAACAAAACAAAATACTGAGCAATCACAGGCTAAAAACATTTGTCGTGCACTAAGCCACAGAAGAAAGGTGTAAGGTGTAAAAGTTCTGATTCTAAACTCGATCAAGACTCCATTCTTCTATGTTTTTACCTTTTCTTTTTGTTCCTAAATTTCTTTCATTCTTTGAAAGGAAATAGTTTGAATCTTAGTGGGATCCTTATAGAGAATATAAACTTCATATTTTGGTTTCTTAATTGGAAACAATACTACATCCGATACAGTCCCAGGAAGTCTGAACACGAAATTGAGCGGAATCAATTTTGAGAATTCATATAACAATAGAGTCAGAACACTAAATTTTTACCAGCAATCAAATCTAACAATGTCTTAAAGATTATTTATCTTTCTTCTTGCCCCCATAATCGTTCTTTTCTCTCTTCTTGCGGGTGTTATTCTAATTGTGTTCCAACAAAGCTTCTTTATGCTTTCCAAATCAAAATCATAGTATAAGATCGAAGCAGTACCTGCCATCCATTCCAACAATCATAACTGTGTCTTGAGCATCAAATGCAGCAATATGGTATGTCTCTTCTGCTAGATGGAACTGAGCGGATGACCATTCAGAACTGAAGTACTTTGGTAAGACACCTGATGATTGCAGTTTACATAAGTGATTCCTTTTTACCAAATCATACATCTATAATGAGAAGCGCAAAGTATTAAATGGATAGTCAAAAAGTTTTAGTTCCTTTTTTCACATTCTAATGCATCGCACTGTCAGTAATGGAAAACAAATTGTAGTTCTGTATTAAGTAGTTAGCATTTTTCCCTTGGTTTTTTGCCCCTTTTTTTGTCCCGTAAGCCTGTGGGTAACATAGATTAGCTAGTCAACATTTTCATCTGTTCCAACACATGAGAACAAACTACACTTAAACTTCAAGTTCTAAGTTTTAAACCATATGATGTATGTGGAAATGCTCCAGTAGGTTGCAGTATTAGAACTTAATCATCAATTTCCATGACAAAATGATAGAATGAAAACCTGCAATATATGTAGAGATAAGTCAACTACTAATCACCTTGGAAACCATGAACTATAGCTCAAAGAAGCTCTACATCTTTTAACTCAGCATCAGATAAGGTCTTAAGTACAAGTCCAACAACAGTTTCAACATATGATATCTACCGAGTGGTAAATCAACTTGTGCAACCTGCTATCAGTAAATAACAATAAGAGTAATAATAGTAGTAGTAGCAGTAGTACTAGTAATAATAATAATAATAATAATGAGTAATGTGCTTCATTATCGGTGCTTGGTTATACCGGTGTTTACTGGTTCAACTGGTATCTGATATAGCCCCGGACTGTCATATGCATTTTAGAAATTGTAGCTAAGAAAAACAACTACATCTAAACAAACTGGTGACATTATTCTTACGGTTTCAATCAAAGGTTCAGATGTGACGCTTTAAAGTTTCATGATATGTTATTTACTCTTCCAGAAATTCAAATTTCCTATAACCCTATAAACTTTAGAAATCCCACCTTCCTGTCAGATATCATTAGGACCCAGGTTGACGGTTAGAATTGCGAGTCACTAAAGTTAATCTTAAGCGATTACAAGATCACTCTATACAGCCAGATGTTCAACAACTATCATGGCCAATGATTGGACAACTATCAGGGGCTTAAATGTGTTGCTTAGGTTTGTAAGAGTATATATAAGAACTTTTTTAGTGTACAGGAAATTCCTATCCTTCGCAACACATATTTTCCCCCAATCAAAACATAAACTACATAGAACAAAATGGAAAAAAGAAACACAACGGCACGAATCATCTCACTTTTTATAAAATGGAATGAGTTAGTGTTGCCTCCAGTTTTCGCAGAGATGAGGGCATTCTGCTGCACATTTCCTGGAATTTGAGCAGCTACAAGCTGGGTGGAAGCATCTCCTCGAGCAGCTATAACTCGAAGACTGAACACATGGACAGTCCCTTTATCACTAGAGACTGCCAGCCACTGTGCATTTGGAGAGAAAGAAATGCTATATATATCAGCCCTATCTAGTCCTCTGCGTACCTACAATTTTGTTAATTTATCTGACATGAGTAATTAATACATATCAAATCTGCAAAAATAGAGTAAGAACTGAAATGGACATAGAAGCAAGTAAACAAGCAAATTCAACAACACACGTCAGAATTATCATCATATTTGGTAACAAGCATGATGAGGAGATACAAAATTCACTAAACAAGATAAGGCCACTTTGAGTAAACAATCCTCATTGTGAAATCATTGGCTCACAAACTAGGGAGGTTAGGGAGGAAAGGGAAGAAAATGAAAAGTAAACAGAAAAAGAAAAAATTGTGCATCTACATATACCCAGTCCTTCATCTTATCTCCCTCATAACTCATTGACTTGGAGTAGCCACTGCAGATATGACTTATATTCCATGAACTTTAATTCTTAAGCCTCAAGTTCAAACCACACCATGGATGTGCAGTAATACTCCAAACAAGGGTTACTAATAGGTCAGGATTTAACCTGGATTCAACCTAATCGAAGATTGGGGTCTCGGATTTACACTCAAATATTTCTGTTATGATAATTCTGAGATTTGGCATGGTTTGATCCATCATGAAATACTTTTCGAGAAGGTGGAACAAATTTGTCCTATACAAAACAAGTGAAAGATGTTGGTAGTCCAATACTTAAAATTAGCAGTACGCAACCAGTTTTCATCTTCTAAACATACAACAGGACCTATGGAACCTGGATATCCAGAATCCAAATTGATGAGAATATTTTCCTGTGTCCATAATATCATAACTTTTGTGCTTAATCATTTATGGTCAATTCTTGAAGATTTAGACTTTTTCGATTTACTTTGGTGTATTCTTGGTGATTTTAATTGTATTTTAGACCCAGTGTCCTTTTCCAGCCAATGTTCCTACTCGATGTTTTCGAGATTTTATTAAACATTGTGGTCTAATTGATTTGGGTTTTTTTGGTTCTAAGTACACATGGTGTAATAATAGACATGGTTCTTCTCGTATATTAGTCCATCTTGATTGTGTTTTTGGTAATGTGAATTGGATGCAATTCTTTGGTCATTATTTAGTATTTTATTTACCTAGACAATTTTCGGATCATGCTCCTTTAAAAATGAAGTTACTTCCTAATACAACTCCTACGAAACTTATTTGTTTTCAAAATTTCTGGACCTATTATCTTGAAACTGCTAACTTAGTTACCACTATCTGGACCTGTCCCTCCACTATATACAGAGATCCCCTTAATGATTTCCACCACAATCTGTGTAAGGCTATAATTGCTTTTTCCACTTGGAATAAGAAGTGCCTAGAAATGTTGGAGCACAGACTGAATTCTACCAATGAATCCACAACTGCTTTAGAAGCTTCTTTAGATTATTCTTAACCTTCAGATCATGACTGCCAACAGCTTAAATGTCTTTATAATTATCACATTAGCGCTACTTAAACAAATCAATCTCAAATGGCGGGCTAATAATTTTATCTTAAAAGGTGTAATTTTATAAAGGATATCAATGACAATAAGAATATTTTATCTATCTTTAATAAGCATTACATTAATCTATGGAACTATCAGCCACCTGTTAACTCCACTACTCCTTGGCTTTCTTTGGAGAACTCAAATTCTAACATTTAGTCTACTCTTATTCAACCTTTCTCACTTACCGAAATACATTAGACTGTTCTTTCCATGAGGCTTGACAAATGCCCAAGACCTGATGGATTTATGGGAGAACTTTATAGATCTTTTTGGGACATTATTGCCCTTTCCATGCATAATGTCTTTAATTGGTTCTTTCATCATAATTTTATCCCCCTAGTTGGACTAAGACCTTTTTTACTTTTATAATAAAGTTAAAAATCCAACCACTATAAATCATTTTAGGCCTATTGCTTTATCAAATGTAAACAATAGAATCCTTTCTAAAGTTCTCACAAACCAACTAAAATCATTCGTTCACCTTTTCAATGGGGAGAAATCGACCTTTATTCTAGGCCGAAACATTCATGATAATATATTGATTGCTCAAGAAGCAATATACTCTATATATTCTTCTACAGGTAAAAGCCCACTGGTCATAGTTAAAATTGATTTAGAAAAAATCTTTGATAGACTTTCATGGGATGCTATTATGTAAGTTCTTACTTTAATGAATTACCCACCTAAATTATGCAATGGATTTATTCTTGCATCTCCTCTTCTTCCTTCTAATTTCTAATTAATGGTCAGCTTTCTTGTCCTTTCAAAAGTCATTGTGGGGTGAGACAAGAGGACCCCTTGTCTCCATATCTATCATTCTATCTATCCTGGTAGCACAGACCTTTACACACCTAAACCAAGCCACATCTCAAAGAAACTTATACCCTTCCACTTTAGCTCTAATTGTCAACTTAGTTATATAACGTTTACAGATGATACTTTATTATGCTTTAGAGCTAAAAAAAAATTATGTCAAACAATCAACTCCATTTTCTCGATTAATGAGATCTTAACAAATCAAAGAATTAATCCCACTAAATCAGAGATATATTTCCCTAAATCTACTCCCAGACATGTTAAAAATAATATTTGTTCCCTTTTCAGCTTCAAAGAGGGTAATTTTTCCTTCAAATATCTTGGAGTTATGGTTTCTCCAAGACAATTATCTTCTTCTTACCATGATGACCTTCTTAACAAAATCCAATCCAAATTAGCCCATTAACAGCATAATTATCTTTCACAAGCTAGTCAGGTGGTCCTAATTAAATCAATTCTCAATTCAATTCCCATTACATACATTTAGTGTAACTTCGATGCCTATATTGATGTTACATAAAATTAAAATTTTGAGTAAAACTTTTTTTGATAAAATAATATTTCAAAAAAAATGGTTGCATCTCATTAAATGGACACTATTACAAGAACTAAAGATTTAGGGAGCCTTGGTCATCAGGATTTAAATTTGTTTAAATTTTCTCTTCAAGCACCTCGAATTCTTCGCTACTTAAACAATGATCAAAGCCTTTGGTCCAAAATTATGCATGCCAAATATAATCCTATCCATCCTCGAACAATGTTAACTTTAAATAAATCTAGCTAGGGATGCAAACTACGCTACATGGCTATGCATGAATTGCAAAATGATTTTTTTAAACGAATTAGAGATGGTACACTTACTGGAATATCCAGTTGCTATTGAATTATTGTGGTCCCTCACTAGTTTAATCTATTACATCTATAGAAATTGATCATTTGCCTTCTGATACTGTATTGGTTTGTAGAGAATTATTTCAGGTAAGGCTACTAATAAGGCTGCTTACTATTTGCTTAATCATTATGATTCAGTTCTTGATCAAACCTGGTATGACTAGCATAACCTTTGGAGATTACTTGCATCCCTACATATACAGACCAACTAATAGGCTTAGTAATACAAACCTAAGCCATACTGTTACTTGCCCCATTCAACACCTATTCTTTCAGTGTCCATTTTCCTCAAGTGTCCGGACCTATTGAGAACAAAACCTCAACATCACTTTTTTACATAAACCAACCTGGTCCCAAGGTGATTGGTTTAAAGAAAGCACCAATTTAAGCCATGATTTTCTCCTATTAGCTGTCAATATAAACCAGATTTGGTTCTTATGAAAAGCAAGAGATGATTCTCTGTTGGATAGTAAGAAACCCTCAACCTAGTGGGAATGACCTTAGCCCTTACCCCGTGCTAGCTACTATGCTAGATCAATCACATTTGAAGGCACCCAAATGACCAATTATCTATAATTGCCATAGAAAAAACCATCTGTGGGCTGGATAAAGCTCAATAGTGATGGCTCCTCTTCTTTGTAGGATGGAGGGCTTGGTTTTGTATTACGGAACCACTCGGGAGCTTGCTTAGGAACTGGAAAAATGTCTTCATCAAAACAGACATACAATGTGAAGACTTGGCAATTAAAGACCTACTCTTTGCCTTAGACCAAGGAATGAAACACATTCAAATTGAAACCAATTCTTCCACACTTTACGATCTATTTACCAAAGAAGCTGATCCACCTTAGCATCTTCGGCTCACCATTCAACACATCAAATTGATTCTACAAAGACTAACTTCATACACATTTTTACGTTGTTATAGAGAATATAATCGAGCAGCTAATTGGTTTGCCAATGAGGCTAAAGTTAGTCATTCATCTTCAATGTGGTGGGCACTTATCCCCTGATTTATCTCTTTTTATTCAATGCATTTTGTAGAAATTTGAAGCAGTAATATATCATCTTTTGGAAAAAATATAATATCATAACTTGGTTCCACAATAAAATCGGATCCATGGTTGACACACCTTTACCAAACCAATCTTCTGAAATAGATTTTGACCTAGCACTAAAAGGCCCTTGTTCTTCATAAGCTATTCTTCAGTGTATCTTTCTCAATTCTTCTGCCAGCATTATCAGGCAAAATTTACATGTATATCTAGTTTTAAGCATCTTGTAAGCTCTGTCCCAAGCACAGTTTTCACTCTGCTAGAGATCATGCCAATTTTCTTATTCTTACCATTTTATTTAAAATGAAATTGTCCGTACTGATCTTACATGTTCTAACATATTTATATCTACTTGTCCTATAAGTATAAGGTATATTTGCATGCAACATGAGTCCCCACATTGTCAAAACAAGATTCTGCTGAACCCTAGTGAAAAATCTATGCAATTGCTATCACAGGTAGCATTGTTAGAAAAATTCTTCATATAGAAACCTATAATGAGTAGACTGAGGCAGCTTCAAACTTTTAGTGACAAATACTAATGAGGCTTTGTTGCAAATAGGACAAAAAACATTAGAGTTTGTAAATTCAATGTAAAGATCTTTGTATGAACTCAAGATATTAAAAATTAAAAATCAGAAATTGTTAAATGATTCCTGTAGGCTCAATGACATACTGAGCGTAACAATCATCTTTGGAATGATTTCTATCATTTTTTTCTTCGAATACATATATATATATATATATATATATATATATATATATATATATATATATATATATATATATATATATATATATATATATATATATAT